TCGAAGCATGCTGATCTGATACACTTCAAGCATCGATGACTGCAAACCTCAACCTTGCCAAGCTCATCGAGATCCATCGCATGGAGCAGAAACTCTATAATTCGTCACATACATCCAAACTTGAAGTCAACTGTCACAGCAATCGTAATGGCCGAATCTACACTGACAGAAACGCCGATTTACGACCGCCCTTCCTTCTTCGAGAACTACCTCCAACTCCCCCGCCAGCAACATGGACTTGATGGTGCGTCAGAATGGCCGATTATGCGTGCCATTTTGGGAGATTTGAAAGAGAAGAGAGTTTTAGATCTAGGATGCGGCCTCGGATGGTTTGCACGCTATGCCGCTGCACAAGGCGCAAGGCACATCGACGCATCTGACATTTCAACAAACATGATCGAGAAAGCGAAGAGTATGACAAACGAAGAGCTCCAGGAGAAAATGAAATATGAGATTCAAGATCTCAACACTATCGAGTTGAAGAGTGAGGAGTACGACATCGTTTATTCTAGTTTGGCACTGCATTATCTTTCCAAAGACTCGTTTATACGCTTGCTGCAGCAAATCTACGGCTCCCTGACATCTGGAGGCAAGTTTGTGTTTTCCTGCGAGCATCCGATCTTTACGGCGCCGAGTAATCCTGCATTCCTCGCTGCGTCAAGTAGCTCGGGTGACGAGGGGCACCCCGTTTGGCCGCTGACAAGGTACGCGGATGAAGGCGTTCGGAGGACGGATTGGATGGGTGGGGTTGTAAAGTATCATCGGACATTGGAAGGCATTTTAGGCGGGTAAGACTCTTCTTTCGCGTACTGCATTATAGGAATATGCTGATTGGGACTGTATAGTCTGCTGGAGGCCGGCTTTGCAATCAAAAGTGTCAGGGAGTGGGTTGCGAGAAGGGCGGATGTAAAAGAGGGCTGGGACGGAGAGGGGAGCAGGCCGATGTTTTTAATCGTTGGAGTCGAAAAGGTGTAGCGTTAGAGAGGGACATCAGCTGCCAATGGCAAAGACTGGATGTTGATCTCATTCTGGCACCTGTTCGTGACTCCTGCTTGTTAAACTAAAGTTGGCGGCCATGATCTACAGCCTGGTTCTGGAGCCAAGCCAGTCTCCAATTATTGGTGGGGATGAATGAGAGCATGACCAGGGTAGGAAACATTAACAAGGCTGCGCAACGCCACAACGGGTTGTGAGTCTTGGCTTTGTACATTCTGGGCGCAAACGCGAAGAACGCGAAGTCATTGCGCGGACACGTGTTGATCCCGAGATGGCGCCCCTTCATCTGAATCGAGAAGGGCGGTATGATGGCCACCTAAGTGTAACGCGGGGTTGTGGCGCTGAGCGGGGGAGATTGTAATAAGACACCCTCGAAAGACCGCTTTTTGCAACTGAAACTCAGCATCCGACAGCATAGCATTCTTCTCTATATCGATTCTGCCTCCCCCTTAAGGATGATCACCATTGCAGTCGCAGGCGGATCGTCGTCAGGCCTTGGCCGCTCGATCGTGAGAGCCATTCAACAATATCCGGATCAGCTGCGGGCAGTTGTGCTTTCGAGACAAAGCTCTAAGGTACCAGCATGGCTGGAAGAGACGGGAATTGAAGTCCGCAAGGTCGACTATAGCTCTGAAGATTCGCTTTATGACGCACTTCAAGGTATTCATACTGTATGTCGTGAGATCTCCTCAAAAATGGATGATTGACGATCAAGGTTCTTTGCGTAATATTGGCGGCCGATGGTACTTGGGTCAGTAGCCAGATAAATCTACTGAGAGCTGGCCTGCGTGCTGGCATCTCGCGCTTTGCGCCAGCCGAGTTTGGCGTCGGACCTCAGGCAGCAGACAACGTTACGCTACTTCAACCTGGCCGCGAAGTAATGGCTGCTTGTCGTGAGGCAAAGAAGAAAACGCCTGATTTTGAGTACGCTGGTTTTCACGTCGGTTTATTCATGAACTACCTCGGATACGGGGCCCCTGATGAGGCAGCGGCAACACACGAGATGAACGATACCTGGGTATTTGTCTGGGATGTAAAAAACATGAAAGCTGCCATACCTCTTACGAAAGAAGGCGAAGTGCCACACATGACTATGACAGAACTTGGCGACGTGGGACGCTTTGCTGCAGCCGCGTGCCTTCTGCCACAGGGAAGCTGGAAGGAGGACTTCAGTCTGGCAAGCGAAACTCTTAGGATGGATAAGGTCGTGCAGATCATCGAGAAGGTGAGAGGCAAGAAAATGAACGTGACCTATCGAAAGTATGAAGAGATTGAGAAAGAGGAAGCCGAGGTGGACGTCTCCAATGTGAGCAAATTATTATGGCTTCAAATCGAGCTGCTGGCCAGCCGCAATGCTGTGGGAGAGGGCATAGTCGAGCCAATCTTGAACAAACTATGTCCTTCGGTAAAGCCAATGTCCGTGGAGGAGTACATGAAGAAGTTTTGGTCTTAGATGCAGTTTTGTTACGTCGTGTCTTGCAGCTTTAGTTATGGTGTGGTGGTCAAGGTGGACTGCAAGACGTATGAAGACTCCAAAGCAAAGTCACGAAACCCCTTCGAACAGCATTAGATGCGAGCGATCTATGTTGCTAGGTTGCTACACTCAGATTATTCTGCATCGCGGTGATTGCTCCATTCGTTCTGCTCATAATGATCCTGCAGGAGGGTCTTTTATGCGTTTGATCAACTTCAACGGTAGCAAGTCTACTTCAAGCAGGAACCAGAGAGCGCTGCATCCGATGAATGCATTGGTGGGAATTCCGGTGTATCGCGGGTAATCTTGATGCTCTTTCACGTTGTGTCTCAAAATGCGCATGATCGTCGCAGGGATGCGCCAGCCTCGTGATGAGATCACCGAACCATTACACGACCTTCAACCGCCGGGCAACAGTAACTTGGAGCTGAACCACGATGATCAATTCCTTTATTCGTGATACTCGGTGCTGCCGTCGTCGCTTTGTATGCACATCTCTTATTTGTTCATCCTACCCGTCTCCTCAGTTTTGCCCAATCTTCGTTCCACCAAAAGTCTAGACGCTGCACGACCCGAAACGTAATGCATCCTCAGAACACGATGCGCGCAATCTTCAAACCCACCTTCTGACAGACAACGGAGTCGTTTGCTTCCCTGCTCATTTGCCATCCCTGCTTCTGATTCGTCCATTGCATCCAACAAGCATGTTTTCGAGAAGTTTACCTTCTCATAAACGGCATGTTCGGGCTTCTAACCGAGATTCTCGAGGACCATGCGAGGGGGTCCAGGAGCCTCGTGGGCGCCTCCAGAGCCTGCAAAAGGTCTCACAATGACATCTTTGATGGATAAGGATCACAGCCACACATAGTAGACGGCGGCTGAATGCCCGGCCGTGGTGAGCCTACCTCGGTGTCGTGAATGTGATGCTCGAGTATAAGATTCACGGCATCCGCCTCATTGATCCATATCATAAGCATCTCAAGCTTCTCTGTCTATCAGTCTATCGTTCTTTTGCCTCGGCGCCTTACATTCTTTCGAGTCTGGTCACTCATTCATTATTTTCTGTCTTTACGTATTACTATCTCTCTAACTTTTATACCAATCACCAACAAACCAACAACATGAAGTCCACACTCATCATCGCTTCTCTCATCGCCGCTGCTCTTAGCGCTCCCACGTATTCGCCATTTGTGCGCCGCCAGACTGGAGGAAACCTCCAGACATTCGTCAAAGCCCTTGGTGGTATCGAGGCCACTCCCGTTGTGAACTCTGGGGATGCCAAGCGCCCATTTCAAGTGAAGGGTGACACCTTCGTCAATATCGGTGCTGCTTTGCAGAGGAGCTGCGACCAGCAGTTCAACGCTTGCGCGGATGCCGCGAATGGAGGATGTGCTATTGTGAGCGTTAGTGCCTGCTCGACCCAGAAAGGTATGTGAAATGCGAAGAACAAGTAGAGGAACCAAAGGCTGACATGAGACATAGATCAGTGCGCTGCGAGTGTACAGGCTAGCACTGCGGCTGCGGCTGGAAATGCGCAGGCTGCTGGTAATGGGAATGCCAATGCCGCTTGCGCGAAGCAGACCAGGTCGGACAAGGCTCCAATTGGTAACAAGACCAGGCTCTGAATACTGAGAACACGACCCACGAAGAGCGGGCCTAAGAGGAGAGGGAAGGATCTGAGTCGATGCTTCTTTTAAGTTCTGTGTAAGATATACTTAACATGTGCGATATGTAAAACCGGCATGAAATACGATATACCTAAGTGAAAACTAGCCATTCCTGTGCGTTGTCATGAAGACTGATATTCCAGAGATGTGAAGCAGTTCTTCATAGAGCTCTTTAGATTATGCTTTGCTTGCCCCATCATATACAACAATCATTCTTGTAATATCTTTCATATTGCTCAACTGCGCAAATCTATGCGCAACGCCTTTGGGAACTTCTCAACTTCATAGACTAAACTTTACCCTAGAGTGTATACACCGATGCACTGAGGAAACTTGCCTCCAGCCAAGGTTGAGCAAGACCATTCATTGCTCATGAATGCGGCTGCAATGAATTTGAAGCACAATAAAAGAAACACGTAACTCGATCGAGGTGTTTCTATCAAGCGATTTTTGTTTACTCATTGCTTTAGTTTGGCGATAACAATATTTCAAACGACCACATGTAACGGATTCAGCTGAGGATTATCTATGCTTTGGAATGAAAGATGTGTGAAATCCACTTCAAATTTTTCATGCCATCCCTCCATATACCATATCCACCAGGTTGTGTGTGAATTATGAAAGGCGATGAATTTTTCAAGTTATGGCGGAGGGTTGTGGGATCTATGTGGATACCGATTGGCTCCGTTCCTAACCCCACACAATCTAAAAAAATTTATACGCCTTCTAGATATCTTGAAAGAGGATTCAATGAACTGTACGAACTATAGGACTTTTACAAGAATCAGCCTTTGAGGAGATATTGCTTGTTGGGTTGTATATTGTCTAAATTCAACTTTTGTCATAAATCCACAACAACAATTGGCTCGGTGGTGTAGTTGGTCATCACGTCAGTCTAACACTGCAGTTGGCACACTGAAGGTCCCGAGTTCAAGCCTCGGCTGAGTCATTTTTTAGATTGTGGTTGTCTGTTTTTGTCCTGTGTTGTGGTAGGAGTGTGTTTGTGATGGAGCCGAGTGATGGTGGCGGACAGTTTTGGTTTGGAACACGAAACTTGTTCCACACCGCACCAGCCCCAACAACTCTCTGATTCACGATTGAAACCCATTTTTTTCAAATGATTTTCTTTTAAATATTGAGAACTTCGTTCTTTCTCGATGCGACACGATTGGATCGTTGGATGTCTTCGAGAAAGCGTAAAATGTGGTGGGAGGCGCAGAGACCCCCATAGGTCTGGTCGGACGCCCTTTCGCATGGTCGCCTTCATTGTTCCAGCTCAAACCTTGTATCACACTTTCATCGAGAATATTCTCACTCACATGTGACCTTGGCTAGTTCTACGTGCGACGATGCAGGCCTTCAGGAGCTTCAGGAGCTTCAGGAGCAGCACGAGAATGCTAGCACTAAGGAAAGAGAGGATTCTTGGACTCTAAGGCATCTGTTGGCGTTACGCACACGCCTGAATCCACCAAGAACTGTGCAGACCTGGATCTTATGCAGTGGTGGTTCCGCGTGGTATAACATACGATCTTTGCCTTCTTTTCAAGGTTGACCTTTGCTCGATGTGCATGGCACTCCGACATACACTCGCGCGTGATCGTAGGCAATATTGGACGTGAATCTAGACCTCAGGCGATTAAAACTCCAAGAGGTTCAACATGCGAGCTTTGCGATCGGTTCAAGGTTGACCTTTGTTTGTTTCCTTTTCTTGGACTGCGTAGCGATTTTGGCATTCGCTTGTGCCTGAGCGTACACAGCTCTGGGCGGAATCTAGATCTTATGCGGTAATGTGAGCCTCAGCAAAATAAGTCCACGTTCAAGGTTGACCTCTGTTTTCTTATACAGCTGGGTGAGACGAGGGGCCATCGGGGCCTCGGCAGCTGCCGGGCTTAAAGTCTTGTCGATCCTCCAAGACTCCAAGACTCCAAGCACGAGCACACCTCCTGCTAAGAAGAACGACATCTTGGAGACAGGTCAAAAGTGGATTTTGCGGGGAGACAGCTGGGCAGTGGGGATGTCTCCACTCCAACGCTCACCTTACAGCTGCCAGGTGATCGGTATCAATGACAGTGCTTGGTACGGCTGGGCGATGAAATTTGATATGATAATTTGAGAATGGTGAAAGGTAATGGTAGAAGGAGAAGCAAAAAAGAGAAGTTCGCGTGTAGCAGAGGTGTTCCAGGGCATTTACACGGGGGCCTGAGAGATAGTGCTGCGGAGTGTTGCTCTAGTAGCCAAGGTCGTCGTCGCTGGTCTGGAGGAAAGGGGCCTCGGAGACGTTTGGCGCCGATTTGTTCGATTGGGCTTTTTCGCACCCATCGCCATCGCAACACTCAGAGCCTCACCATCGCTTTCCGATCAGAACTTGTAACTTGTTTCTTACTATGGCTCACCCTTTCTCCGGTGCAATGCAAATATGGTGACGATGCAACAAAGTCAGATGGCCGGCGAGTGCCCGATGAGACAGCTAAAAGCTGGCCCGTGTCAGCCATACGTCTGCGCACCCACCACTCATAACAAGCAATGCTGTCAAATGTCAGGGGTCCCGCCCCAGCTGGCGTTCGGGCAGAGCGCAGGCCTAGCGATCTGTCCGCTGGTCAAGGGTGAAGTCGTCGCACCTCTGTTCGAGTACTTGTCCAAATCGGGAACGCCAAGACGATTCGCTGCCTGAATGCCTAAAATCAGACCGCATCTCAAACCGAAGACAGTGTTTCTTGCGCCGCCATCCTAGTCTCCGTTCCGCTCAAGCATTCGCGCCTCCACTTAAGTAATACGCCAATTGTTGCAACCGAGGCTTTTCCGGTCGAAGCTTAACGCACCTGGTACTGTCACCCTCGAACGCTGCTGCCCCAGACGAACGCTGTGGAGAAACGCAGCCAAGGGATGGGATAGTGCCTCGCCTATCCACACAGACAAAGCGGCGATCGCTGCTTTCCTCAGTGCGAGATCCACTTCAACTGACCCGCCGCTGTACCTGCTGCACTTGGCGAGTCCACCTTCGTGGGGCAACTACAGGCTTGGGGCTTCTAAGCATTCCTCCTACAGATGTCATTCCCCAGATTTGCGGGCGGGTCTTGGAAAGCAGTAAAAGACTGCAGAGGCGTCTCCAGCAACTGTAACTCAGCAGCATATAGTACATGGTTGTTGCTGGAGGAAAACGGCATGCGGTCCGCCGCAAAATAGTGGCTGCCTCCCGCTGGTTCATACCTAGGATCATCTTGCAAACTATCCTGTAGTTGGCTTGCTCTCCAGAGCCAACCATGTACGACAAGTCAGGCTGCCTGATCAGGACCCAATCCACGGTACTGTCTAAGGCGTCGACCACTCGAGACCGCGGCCATTGACCCACATTGTGTCGCATCTCCTTGTGGCTTCTTCCTGATCTAGCATCGTATACCACGCTTAATGCCCCTTGGCTCCGCGTCACAGAAGTTTCGAGCCGATATCAAACAGCGGGAAGGGCTTGGCGACGAGCCTCGAAAAGCAAAGCTCCGCCAGGGCTGCCATGCTATGCTTCGGATTCTTGGCACGGCTTCAAAGAAGTTTCAACCCTACTCAAAACAGTGGGCTCATCTTGGCGAAATTCACGATCTGGGCCTGCGATATCACGGCTTTTGATCATGCTGTAGTGCGTATAAAAAGATGTTCAACCCACTTCTCCAAGTCTCCAGTCAGGCCACTCACTTCACTTCCTCACAAAGCAACTTGTTCTTTTTGTCGCCGTGCGACTTCTATCGCTTATTTCATTCAAACAAATCACGTATTTTACATTGACTTTTATCTTTCCGCAAGCCACAGCTTCTCAATCCTTCAATCGTAAGATTAAATCTACCACAACAAACAACATGCTTCCTCAACACGTCCTCCTCGCGCTTGTCGCATCCGTCGCTGCCGTTCCCCTTAACATCAACTTGGGCGCCTACTCTCCGGCCTTGGTAGTCGGTGATGGTGAAATTTCACTCGGATCTACAGAATCAGCTTCACAGCTGATGGCAACGCTCGCATCGGGCGCTGCGCAAAACGCCAACGGCGAAGGCCAACAAGCAGGTCAGCAAGAACAGCCCGCCGCCGAACAACCAGCGGCTGAGGGCGAGCAAAATCAAGAACAACCAGCTGAAGGAGAAGCAGCAAAACGAGCCCCAAACTTCCGCCGAAGTCTCCTCGATTCACTTCTTGGAAAGCGCGCTCCGGCCCCGGCTGAATCCCAGATGGTCGCCGTCGAGGCCGCTATGGATTGGATCAAGCGTGATCTCCAAGGCTTCCAGGCCGCTCTCAGCTACGCACGCGAGGCCATGAAGGACCAGCCTAAGGTCGAGCTCGGTACCGAGCATGCTGGTATTGGTATCCTTGTCCACCCGGGTGTCAATGTTCCCAAGGACTCAGCCGCCGCTGGCGCTACCGAGAAGAAGGAAAAGCGCGGCGAGGTTGTTGCCGAAGATGAGGCACCAAAGATGACCCTTGTCGCCATCACTGAAGTATAATTCATACCCATGAAAGAGACGGAGTTTGACGATTGCTTTTTCAACGTACACGGGTGGGGGAATGAGCGGAGGTGACAATATTAGACGACCAAGTCATGTTTTGTTCAGTGCGTTTTTCTTTCAGCGACATCAGCAGGATCCTCGACGAGGGCCGGAAGATGAAGCGAACATCGGCAGGATCCTCCATGAGGACCGGAAGATGGTGCGAACATCGGCAGGATCCTCAATGAGGACCGGAAGATGGGATAAACATCAGCAGGATCCTCAATGAGGGCCGGAAGATGAGGCGTACATCGGCAGGATCCTCTACGAGGACCGGAAGATGAGGAGTTTTTGGCTACTGGGACTGGTGCGCTGATCAGCAGCCACTTTTGAGAATTATAGAATTCAATGTACAACTACGTGATTAACTTTTCTCTCTCTCTCTCTCTCTCTCTCAGAATGTGAACCTTGTTTGTTTCTCTGCTTTTACAGCTTCCTTTGGTCATTGAGCCGCTTCCTACTATTCAGAAGTATCGCCGTAGTCCCATATTCCAAGCCCCTTTTCTTGCCCCTTTCGCCACATTGCCGTACGCGCAACGGCCGCGCAAGCCTAACATTATCAAGCATCCAAGTAGAGAAGTGACGTCCAGCTGTCGGCTATGTCAAGCCTCAGCCAAGTCACAGTGAAGTCTCAGCGACGTCTTAGGGATCTTGGCGAAGCTTCAGGGTTTATCGCGGAACATGAAACACGCAAACGGCATGACGCAGGGGGAGCAATCCCGTGGGGCTGAACATTGTGGCGAGCGGAGCATATATGCACCAGCTTTATGCGATTTGGAAGACGATATGCAATCTTCACATTCCTGTCGCCTCGCGTCCTCAACTTCCGGTCGTTGGTGTTTGTTCACCGCGGCACTTTCGCTATTGCTTGAGCCAATTCGGCCTAGCGCTCTTTGTTTTGTGCAGTAAGCATGGCAATTCCTGATGCCGTGCGACAAGACTCGTCAGGTAATGCAGTCTCGAAACTTTATGGCATGATTCTTGCAGAGAGTTTTCGCTGCGTGCGCTTAGCATACTAGGGAGCGAGAAATATTGCAACGCGCACGCAACCAAGTGTAAAGAATTTGAGAGCTTCGTGACAAGCTCGTTCGGCATCAAGACAAAAAAAATAAGAACATTGCATAAAACCCCTGGTGAGGGTAACGGTAAAGTTTGCTAGGGCAATCACCAGCGACAGGCATGAGAAAGGTTGGCAGCATAGGTGGTTGCCGGATGGAGTCTCTGACTAGCTAGGCTGAGATCGTCAAAGTGGTAACCAAGATCAGCGAGGACAGCCGCTGCATGCTTGTCGAATCTCCCTGCTCTTTCAGGGGAACATTTGTTGAGAATGAGTTATCGGCTTCCACTCCAAATCAGGAGGAAGGTACAACTACCGGATGTCTCCATTTTTTAACATTTCCTAGCCTGCACTCACAGGCAGCCAAGG